TTTTTTTTTTTTTTTTTTTTTTTTATAAGGGTGTGTGTCTACTATACAGGGGGAGGGGAGAGAGAGAGAGAGAGAGAGAGAGAGAGAGAGAGAGAGAGCAACGGATCCCCTTAACATCGCTCAGATGGCCCGTGCAGGCTATCTGAAGGGTCCTCGCCCCCATGTAGCGCAGACTCCCCCAAAAATCGAGGCAGGCAGCGATATGAAGTAGAGCATGAGCTGCCCGAATATATACTCAAGATTCGAGTTCAGGTCTGTGTTTCAGCAGTTATGGGTTGCTCACGTAGCTAGGACCTGTTGGTCTCTGCACGTGAGTCTTAGGGCTTGGCTGCACTACTCACGAAATGTGCAAAATTTGAATGAATCTTCTGCAGAACATGGAATAATACGCCACCATATGTTTTGTCTTTTGTGCATTGGTGAGTAGAGGCCCTTAGGGCCACTGCACGTATTCCTAAGAAAAGAAAAACGAGAAAAGAAAAGAAAAACGAGAAAAGAAAAGAAATACGAGAGAAGAAAATAAAAACGAGAAAAGGAAAGCAAAACGAGAAAACACAGAAATAGTGACCCATAACCGAGATGCACAGACCTGAATTTGAATATAGACTATATATTCTCTGCCCACGCTCACCAAGTACACGTTTGAGTTGCACCTCTGCATGACGTAGGGTCCCAGGTAATACGCTGGAGGGTTCCTTCGGAAAAGAGGCTGGACACAATGAGGACATTAATACTCAGATGTACAAACCCCCTCGTAGACTTTCCGGGCCGTCTGGATCGTCGGTGAGGGTGGTAAAAAATAAGGCACTATTTTTTTGGGGTGGCCCAGGGCGTGAACAAACACCCTGGACCACCCAAAAAAAATTTGGCCATTGGGCTGGGACCCTCACATCCGGACCAAGATCCGCACCCGGACCCTGGACCCCGGACCACAGACTGTCCGGATCCCTGTCCGGTGGTCCGGATCGTAGCTATGCGGCGAACACTCGCCCGGTGCCATCATGTTCTTCTTCCACTTGAATTGTGAAAGGCATGTGGTGTGCAAAAGCTATTGATTAATCCATGTGATTCTCTTTTATTGTGAGATCACTTACTGGTTGTTTTTTGGTGATCAAAAAGGTCCGAGAAGAATTGAGACGTGTAGGTTATGTTGCTTCGCAGCGGCACCTTCGACACTTAACTGAAAGTGAAGTGAAAGTGAAGACTTTCCGGCAAAGACAGAACTCAGCATGAAGAGATACACCCACACAAGGAACTCTGTTGCGAACGCAAATGTGAAAGAAAAAGGCATGGATCCTTGGGATGCAAATCAAAGAACACCCACCACCATGCGTCCATGGGGACGTACTTGGTTTAATGAAGCCCTGACGAAGCAGCTCGTCAATTTGGCGTTTAAGTTCTTGGGTTTCAAGGATCGAAAGGCGATATGGGGCGTGATGCTGAATACGGTAGTTAGGTTCGAGCCGGATGGAGGGAAAACATCGCGATACTCGCAAAGGAGGGTCGCAACGCTAGGCTGCAAAGACGATAGGAGGTTGTCAAACTCCTCGGCAGCAGCAACGTCTGAAGCAGGAGTGGAAGGTGTTGGTATGGGAATAGGTACCGATGGTCCCTCCGGGGAGTGGTGGATCGAGCTCGACCAACTCAGCGTCCTGATGCATGGAGTTACAAACAAGGAGATCCGTGATGTCGACAATGTAGAGTTCTGCATCAGGCTGACGAAGGATGTGGTGGAACTGAGTAGGTGTCAAGATGGCGACATTGACAGGAGAGGGGGATGTAAAGTCCGATTTGCCCAACGATGGAATACGATATTGCTTCCCATCCTTGGCGTCGAGGACGAGGTCGTTGTGGATCCAATCGGGACCAGAATGGGCGAACTGATGGGATTAGGAAGTGCCGAGAACAAGGTCGTATAGGGTTTCCATGACGTTGAAAGTCCACTGGTCATGGAACCGAGGGGCCTTGCGAAGGCTATGTGGCATCCGCAAGGGGAAGGAGAATGGGAGATCAGGCACCACACAGTCGACGAAGGATTTGGCCTGATTGTTGCTAAGCGTGACAATGACAGTGGAAGGGTAGGGGGATGTATAGAGAGATGCCTCCTTAACTACACAAGGATGAATGAAGTCGCCAGTAGAGTTAGAGTCCCATAGTGCATGATACACTCTAGTAGAGGTCCCGAGGCGCACTGGAATAATCGGTAAGGTGCGATCGCGATTGTGTAGGCGCTGAGACATCGCAGATAGGGTATGCTCTCTGAGGCGGAGACATTCTTGGTGGGCCTTAACGCATTCGAGGTTTAGGAAGTCGATGATATACTCGACTGCAACAAGGGAAGCACTGCAGTGGGCCGTGCGTAAAGCACGCCTAGTAGGAGGACGAGGAGGAGGAGGATCACAAGAGACGCTAGGAGAAGAAGGGGAGGGTGCACCAGCGTCGCTAGGATCGACCAACGATGAGGTCAGGTTCGAGTCCTCAGAAAGAGTAGCAAGCGGCTCAAAGGTAGAATCGCGAGCAGGTATGCCTGCTACTGTAGGAGGATCAGGGGGAGGGGAGATGGTGGCTGTGGCACTGGAGGACGAAACGGGGGGGTCAGGCTGAGGGTGGGACTGCTGAGCAAAGTGACGTTGGAGGGCGTCAGCGTAGGGGAAGGTGGACGGAGTGTGACCAGGTAGGCGGCAACGGGTACATATACCTCGTGTACGAAAGTCCTCACTCTCCGTGATAGTGAATCGAGCTCGGGGAAAGACATAGCCCAATGGGAGGGGCTGTTGTGTGGCCGATGAGCGGGTCCTCGATGAGGAGGACTGGCGCTGTCTGAGGAAAGCAGAGAAGGCACGGGCGAGGTGCTCGTCTTGGTCGGGATCGTCACCATCCACAGGAGATTGGGGGTCATGTCCCTGGTCCGGATCACTATGGGATCCATCCGAACCAATACCCTCCTAGTTTGGACACGGCGGAAGAAGGTGCGTCCAGGAACTCGGAGGGGGCCGCGGCGAGACGTGGAGAACTGTCGGGGGCGATATGTGCCAGGGGCATACGTGGCAGCGGGAGGTGCAGCACTAGGCTGAGATGTAGAGCCCACAAGAGGTGCATAGGTGAGCTGGATGGCCCTGGCAATGTAGGCCTCAGGGAGGGTGTGGACTGTGTTTGCTAGCATCTGAAGTTGGAAGGGTTGGGGTAACCTGGCACGGAAACGCTGGACCATAGCGTCGTCGGCTATGAGGGAGGAGGGAATATGGGTGCGAACGCGGTGGAATGTCGTGATGTACGACTCTAAGGCATTGTTGCCACCAAGCCATCTGATCTCAGCGACCCGTGTGATCGGGTCACGGGTAGGCGTCGAGCGAGAGTACTGCTGGTGTTGAAGGCCTCAGGGAGGGTGTGGACTGTGTATGCCAGCATCTGAAGCTGGAAGGGTTGGGGTAACCTGGCACGGAAACGCTGGACCATAGCATCGTCGGCTATGAGGGAGGAGGGAAAATGGGTGCGAACACGGTGGAATGCCGTGATGTAGGACTCTAAGGCATTGTTGCCACCAAGCCATCTGATCTCAGCGACCCGTGTGATCGGGTCACGGGTAGGCGTCGGGCGAGAGTACTGCTGGAGAAAATCATGAAACTCCACGTACGTCATACTCGCGTGAACACCCTGCTGAGTACGAAGGGCGAGAAAGTCGCGCCAAGTGGAAGCCGCTCGAGCTGTGAAGCGGGCTGACATCTTCATAGGCCACAAGTCCATGTTTACACCATGGTACCGAAGTTGCTCCTCGGATGTGGTGATCCAGCTCGAGAGAAGGTTAACAATAGTCGTATTTTTCATCACCACTTCAGGATGCAGCCTGCCTAAATAGGTGGTTTTTAGGGTCTTCGGACCTTTCACCACTTCAGGACCATTCAGGTCTGAAAATCCTCAATGGTCCTGAAGTGGTGAAAGCTCCGAAGACCCTGAAAACCACCTGTTTAGGCAGGTTGCATCCTCAAGTGGTAAAGGGTGGTTTTCATGGTCTTCGGATCTTTCACCACTTCAAAACCATTCTGGATTTTCAGACTGCCCAAAACTTTCACTTGACCACTTCAGGACACCCTTCACCACTTCAGGATGCAGCCTGCCTAAACATGTGGTTTTCAGGGTCTTCGGACCTTTCACCACTTCAGAACCATTCAGGATTTTCAGACTGCCTAGAACTCTCACTTCAGAATTTTCATTCCTGAATTTTCAGCTACCCGATAACCGCTTGTGTCCAGCCCTGGAGTTCGGAGGCCTTGCCATCGAACTGGGGGAGTCTGTCAGGGCGGTACCGGGGTACATAGGGCGGCGGCTGATAATGAGGAGGGAGGGGGAGGGCACACTGCGATAAGAGGACAGAGGAACTAGGGGCACCCGCAAGAGCACTAGACAAGGCCGGAAGCTGAGGCAAAGGGCCATGAGACATCGTGGTGGCCGGTGGAGGAAGAGTAACGTGCATCGCAGCGGCCTGTGTCTGATGCTGTCGGTAGATGGAAGGAGCAGCAGGCTGTGCCGCGAGGTGGGGAGGCAAGGGTTGACCTCCTTGGAGCCGACGGATGTGGTCGCGGGCCATGGCAAGTGGGCTTTGGAGCTCAGCATGTTGTGTCCTAGGTGTCATAGGGGGTGGGGGCGGAGGTAAAGAAGTGGGGGGTGGGGGCGGAGGTAAAGAAGTGGGGGGTGGTGAAGTAGGTGCCGTGGAAACTAAAATTGCGAAGGTGGCGGGACATGATGCCATGGGTTCTAAGGAGGAAAGTGCAGAGGTGGACACTTGGGAGGAAGGGAAGGCTGCAGAGGTGGACACTTGGGAGGAAGGGAAGGCTGCAGAAGATGGGTGGGTATGTGGAGAAGGCATACCACCCTTGGAAGAGACAAGAGTGTAGATGATGCCAGCCGAAGAAGGAGAGGAAGTAGGCAGAGATGCTGATGACGCGGGTGGGGGGGGAGGACTATGGGATACCAGATTGGGGAGAGGGGAGGTGTGATCCAGTAGGAGGATATGTATGGAAAGG